ACAGTGAATTTATATATTAATGAAAGCACACAGGTGAAATGAATTTATCAAATGTATTTGTTGATTAATAAATGGTTAAATAAATTAAATACGTATTGAAAAATGAAAATGAATGTATTATTGAAATAATTGAATTATAATAAGGTTAGAATCGTTCAAAAAAGATTCTCACTTTATATATATATATATATATATATACACACACACAAAAGTTCGATAAATACAGCATTTATTTCAAAGTATGTTAATAGAATATTCAAAGAGAAACCATAATCATGATAAATAAAAAAAATGGGTATAAAAACGATAATAAGAAAAAGATTATGAACTTTTAGTACAATAAAAAAGTGAAGCAATAAAATGAATTGTGCGGTAGCACTATATTACTCCAAAGGTGACAAGTAGAATTTATGTTGTTCACTTGGATGGCTAAAGTGGAAGTTTTTGGTGGATCTTTACTGTTTATGTCAAGTCCTTTCATGATATTGTAAATAGATCATGAATATAAAGGGAATTTGTCATAAATTCTTTTTTATACATCTAGGGGTGAAATGGATCAAGGAAAGCAGGTATGAGTTGGTTTGTCTTCGCTTTGAACTAGTCGAGTATGGGCTAACTTATTTAAAAAAGAAAAAAAAATTAATTCGACTCGTCCTACCATCTAGCATATTGGCGGGACGAGTCACTCATATGCCTACTTTTTTTTTTTTTAATTTGTTATTTTTATTCAATTGAAATTTTTATCCTAAATGATGTTGTCTATGGGGGCCTGGCTCAAGTCAAACTAGGTCACTACCATGGGCGTCAAAAATCAGTGGCCTCATGAAAAATAAACAGGCCCAAATTCAGCCTAGTCCAAAACCCATCCAATCACTGACAAAAGGAACTGTAAAGAAATAAGGAAATTATAAAAACTCAAGTGCTTAAAGTTTGGAATTCAAAAATCAGGGACTAAGTATTATCATTCAAAAATCAGGTACTATATAATAAAACATAACCCCAATTTATCACTCAATTTCCCTCACCTCCCTCCCTCACCTCCCCCCCTCTCTCTGTAACCTTTCCCTCTCTCTCTGTATCTTTCCCCCCCTCTCCCTCTCCCTCCCTAGC